AAAATTTTTAAATTTTGTAGACCTACAACCAGGAGATAAAGGGCTTGACTGGGCAGCCAGAAAACGCATAGCTTTTGCTACTGCTCATGGCCTTGAGTACTTGCACGAGCATTGCAATCCTAAGATTATTCACCGTGACATGAAGGCCGCCAACATTCTCCTTAATGAAGACTTTGAACCTGTCCTTGGTGATTTTGGGTTGGCAAAAGTAATGGACACAAAAACAACTCATGTCACGACTCAAGTACGCGGGACCATGGGTCACATTGCTCCCGAGTACTTGTCCACTGGCAACTCGTCCGAAAAGACAGATGTGTTTGGTTACGGCATAACTCTTCTTGAGCTTGTGACCGGCCAACGAGCAATAGATTTCTCTCGGCTTCAAGATGAAGAGGATGTTGTGTTGCTTGACCATGTAAGTTTAATTTCTATCTATATATGACTATGTAAATGAGAATATTTATTTCTTTTCTTTGAGTAGTTGAGTGATTGATTCTATTTGATCAACTTATAGATCAAAAAGTTACTAAGAGCAAAACGGGTAGTTGATATTGTGGATGAGAAGTTACAAAGTTTCGAGGGCAGAGAAGTGGAGATGATTCTCCAAGTAGCAATGCTTTGCACCCAAAGCTTTCCCGAAGACCGTCCGAGGATGAGAGAGGTGGTGAGAATGTTGCATGGGATTGGCTTGGAACAGAGGTGGGCTGAGTGGAAACAACTTGAGGAATTAAGGCATCAACACCATTTTTCCCAAAACTTCTTCATTTGGGTTGAGGACTCTACTCTTGACCAACAAGATGCTACACAATTGTCACAACCCAGATGAAACTAGCTATAAATAAGGTGGAAGTGAATTCAGAGGGAATCTTAATTTTTCTCACAATTTACATTCATATTTATACACACATAAGTACTTATGTTTCTTACGTTCGGAGTACATTACATGACACGGTATTTCACTTTTAGTGAAAAGTTCAGAATTTGATGTTATAAAGTACCTTTCAAATCCATGCAACAACTATTAATGTTTTATTGGTGGCCTTATGAGTGAGCCTTACCTTGGAGTGTTTTTTTAATGTGCGTTTTTCTAGTGTATGTTTTACCTACTAGTATAAATAGATTTTAGTGCTTTGTATTTTGGGATCCATCTCTCATTTTTCTACTTTCCAACTTTGGAAAAAGCTTTATTTTTCTATTTTGCTCTCTATTTCTCCCTTGGAGGTTTATGTCATCATTTTCCGACGACTTTTACGGTGTTCTCGTTTTTGTCCAAGTTCTGAACTATTGAATCTGACTTCATCTACCACGCAACAGTATATTGGGTATTTACTTGATTTTTGTCTCGTTTTTACTTATGATGCTTATCAAGGTGAATGTGAGTATTTGTTGGATGATGGATGGAGAGTTTGGACTTGATTATTTTTATTGCTTGCTTGAGTGATTGTAGGGATTAATTGTTTGCCTATCTAGATTAAGGGTTGAGACTCTATTTAGAGCTTAATCACTTAGGTTAGAAGATTAGGGTTAATGACCAAGTGCTTTGAGTTTGCATATTTCTCTTCGTTATTTGTTTTCCTTTTTGTGTCGATGGCATAAAGACTCCAGTAGTTTAATTTCGATATTCGCTCGTTTTTTCTCGTTGATTGCAATTGCTCGCAGTTCTTCACTTGCTTAGTGTTAATTCAACCCCGGACTCTTCGATTAGAATGATTAGGTCTTTATTTTCCCGTTTTTGTATGTTTTGGACGATCGAGTAGTAGACAAAGCTCCGAATAGCCTTCCTTTGAGAACGACCCGAGGTCGGGTAGCTCGATTACCATCTACCCACAAAATACTATTTAACACGTTTAAAAAATCAACTCATTTACATCGGTAAGTACAAGTTTCAAAAGTTTAAATTTACTTTTATTAATTATAAAATTTTTATTCATTACCTTTTTTATATTTATTAGTAAGTGTTAAGACTTACTTATATTTTTATTATTATATAGTTTTAATATATATATATATATATATATATATGTATGTGTGTGTGTGTGTGTGAAACTTTTATATTTGTTAAAAATGCCTAAAATCAAGTATAGAACTTTTTGGGTCATATGTTATCTTATAAATCAACTAATTGTATATCTTTATATTATATCATATATAATTATGATTATTTATTAATATTATACTCAAATATTATAATTTGTTAATTCATCAATTATATTGTCGAGCCAACAGTACTGCAACATAAAATTTGTGTTCATAAAAATTTTTAAAAAATATATTATTTCAATGATTTTCATATGTTGATTTGCGAACAATTATGCTTTTTTCTTAAGTATATTTTTAAGTTATTGTGACTGCGTTAATACGTTAAAAGTGTATTACAAACGAGAACGGTGATAAACGACATTATGTTATTTTGATGATATACTTTTTCAATTAACTAAATAGTGTCCCATTATGAAATTATTTTGAATCCACCAATGCAATTAGCTTTTTAATGAAACTTCCATTGAAATTTTTACAATTCAATTGACAGTTTTTGCAATGGTTGAAATATGGTCAGAAAACAGTTTCAACGGAAATTCACACAATGATAAATAATGCTAATTGGAATCATTAAATACACTAAAATTTTACTGTAATTTAATTTGATCTCTGATGGAACAACCAATGAAATTTTCCTATAAAGGCTATACCAATGAAATATCCGTTGAATTTTTCAGTGGAATAACATACCGTTGGATTTTCATTACAATATAACAATTTTCTTATTCCTTCTTAAATATTAAAATTCTTATGTTGTAATTTTCCTTATCAGTTAATTGTATTTACAAATATTGTATAGAAAATATATTAAACACATGAACTTTTTAGTCGATTTATGTTTATTAGAAATCAATCATTCTTTTATCTCAAGAATACTTATTAATTTATCAATTGATTTACATTTCTTATATGTTAAATAATAAAAAAAATTATTATTTTATATATGTAATACGATATTTGTATATTATCTTAAAAAAACTAATGACAAATAAAAATTTATTTAAAATTATAATAATCAAGTGTGTTTTTTAATTTAAAAGTTCTAACTTAAGTACAGGGGCGGACGCAGACCTTAAAGACAACGGGGGCACAAATCTACGGTCAACGGTCAACGCCGGATGTCAACGGTCAAATCAATATTTAACCAATTAAAAAAATTAAATCTTGACCAAATACCTTGTTTTTTATTTAATAGCTAGGATTGAGTCCCATATTCTCATTTTAAGAATAGAGACACATTTTATCCAATCTCTATATAGTATATACATTAAAATGAGATAAACGAGAAGTTGAGCATAAGCATAAATTTCACAACGTATAAAATAACATATTATTGAAGGTTAAATAATTCTAAACATTTCATTTTTATTTTTTTATATTAAAATAACTTTGCATAATAATTAATAACATGTATTTTTTATGTCAATATAATAATACTTTTATACATATAACATATGTACTATATTACTAAAAATGTTCTACAGGGCCCCATGCCCCTACGGGCCCCTATGTAAGTCCGCCCCTGCTTAAGTACAAATAACTATTGTCTATCATCTAAATTTACACATAGAACAAATAAGCACAAAAAATTTAACAAGCGTTGAACAATTCGACTCGTTTACATCGATAAGTACAAGTTTTAAAAGTTTTATATTTAATTTTAGTAATTATAAATTTTCTATTTATTGATTTTTTTTCATATTTATAAGTAAGTGTTACAACTTAATTATATGTTTAATATTATTTTTATATTTAATATTTTTTTTTCTATATAGTTCTTTCATATGTTTTTTAATATATATATATATATATAAACTTTTAGATTTTAAGAAAATAGATAAAATCATATAGAACTTTTTGGGTCATAACTTTATTACATTATATAATTACAATTTTTTTATTAATATTATACTCAAATATATAAATATTATTTATTTCGTACATTTTTTTAAAGAAAAACACTTCTTTATTATAATAATACATATTGGATAAATGAATACTGATAATATATCAATATAATTTCTTGGTAAAAATTAATTAATTTTCAACGTATATATGCATATCATGATTTTTGAGTTATTCTTAATTAATTTTCAACGTATATATGCATATCATGATTTTTGAGTTATTCTTAATTAATTTGTAGATGATTATATGATCAAAATTAAATCAAGTTGCTCAATTGGTATCCCATTCGAGTTTTAAACAAATAGACAATTTCGTAAAATTGTTCTAATCTTATTTTAACCAAAGAAATTGAGTAGATTAGAAGTTTATGTTGCAAATAATCAATTTATTCTTTTTATAGGTTAATTTGAAAAATAATTTTTCTATACTTAGTGGTTGTTACGAGAACAAACAATACCGATTTCATGTTTTTTACTTAAAGGTATTGATAAACTTACGAAATTAAATAAATATTACTGAAACAATTATCTTATTTGATAGGATAGTTACGGTCAAATGAACTATCAAATGTCATTGAGAAAATCATAAAATCATTTAAAAATCTTAAGATAATATCAATAAATAAAATGTTCCATATATAAAAATTTTAATTCTCATTTTTTATTGCCCATCCTGGCTCAATTAAAGTAATAATAATTAAAATATCCTGATATATTTAGTTAATTATTGAATGAAATTTTTTTAAATATTTCAAGTGTTAATAACTAAAATATTATTCACCTTGATATAAACCACCTAATGGTCAGGTGAAGATTCGTTAACTTTGTTGACTTTGTGACCAAAATTGAAAAAAACAACCAAACAAACAAATTAATGACGATTTATATGGGATCAAAATTCAATCCAATAAAACTAAGGTTCAATATCTATATTAATTCTAAATAAAAGAGTTTATTTTCTTAAATAATGAAGTAGTTAAATGAATTGTTCACTTTTCTAGTTTGTTGGATTATGTATATATTTCATGATGCATGATTTCAGTAAAATTTTAGGGATATTCTCTTAATTAATGTTAAGTATGTATCTTTACTATTATTTATTATATACAAGTTACCCCTCAATTGTATCCCCCTCAACGCGCGACAGGCAACTTGCCTAAATTGAAGAACGCTACTGGGCGTATCCCACGATGGATAACTTGAATAATGCCAGAAGCGTGTCTGGGCCTACCTCAGCTTCAATTTGAGTGGCGTGTTCTGGGCGATTTCTACCTCATCATGCAACGGGCCGTTCGTACTCCACACAGCAACTGAAGCAAGAAAGAAAACTAATTCCCCATGAACAATGGGACCCGTCCTTACATACTTCGTTGCTTAGTAGGGCTTTTCTGTATCCGTAATCAGGAGAGCAAAGTGAGGGACGAGGATAGATGTAATTTAGAAGCGAAGCAAAGTTCAGTCATAAAGGAAAGTAGGTAATCGTTGTCACTTTTTACCAAGATTTATCGTTTGTTAAAATTGTAAATAAATAGTTGAAAATATTTAGATTATTTATAATTATTTATTATGCTATTTTTGGTGGATCAATTATCTTTAAAAAATATTTATATATTAGAATTATAAAGTATGATTACGATCTTACATTAATATTATAAATAAAATAAGTCTGTTTTCCAAAACATCAATTATATATCATTTTAAATCTTTGTTGTTTGGGTTGATTTTTAGGAGATATGAAAGAAAGCAGTTTGACAGATATGTGAAAGAAATAAATTAGTGAGGAATAATGGTATGAGAATATTGAGGTTGACTTTTAGGAGATCTGAAATGTTTTGTTCGTGTATCTATATTTAATTAATGAATATTAGTTATTAATTAAAAATACAAGATATGATGAGTATTGGTGTATTACTAAGTTTTCATTAAAAATAAGTCAAACTAAGGGGTTTTAGGTAGTTCATTTGTTAATTAAAAATATAAGATAAGATGGGTATTACTGTATTACTAATTCGTCATTAAAAATATGTCAAAGTAAGGTTTTTTTAGACAGTTCATATTTTTACAAAAACCACTCGTCCTTTTATAATAGTATAGATAGATAAGTAGATATGTCTTTTTTTTAAATGTTGTAGACCTAAACGCAAGAGATAAAGGGTTTGACTGGGCAGCCAGAAAACGCATAGCTTTTGGTACTGCACATGGCCTTGAGTACTTGCACGAGCACTGCAATCCTAAGATTATTCACCGTGACATGAAGGCCGCCAACATTCTCCTTAATGACGACTTTGAACATGTCCTTGGTGAATTTGGTTTGACAAAACTAATTGACAGAAAAGCAATTCATGTCACGACTGAAGTACGTGACCATGGGTCACATTGCTCCCGAGTACTTGTCCACAGGCAACTCATCTGAAAAGACAGATGTGTTTGGTTACAACATAACTCTTGTAGCGCCCCGTTCGTCTATTAGAGTTTCTGGATTTTATATAATCATATAATTTCTTATATTTGATTATTTGCCTTGTCTTATAATTATTTGCTCGTTTATTTTATTAACTGCTTGTACTTACCTTGTATTATTTATCTGCTTGCTCGATTATTATTATAAATTGCTCGTTTTTGACTTGTATGATTTAAATGCATTGTCCTGGTGTTATTATGTGAACGATCTTATTTTATGTGCTTGATTAATTTTATGTAATAGTTAGTTCGTTCGATAATTTAGGTGCTATCGCGTAGAATTAATTTCGATCCGATTCGACCGATTTTGGTGTTTTTAAATCCAAAGCCTGAAGTTTAAGTTTCGGGCCAAGTTGATTTATTTTCCTGTCCAATTGTCGTCAGTTTCTTGCCCAGTTGAGTAAATAAATTGTGGCCCAATTTGATATTAGCTTCCGGCCCACCTTTCCATTAGTGGTTTGGCCCAAGAGATTTTTTTTTAAAAGAGATGCGAGACCAGATCATCTCTTTCCAGCGCATGACCGAGTCTATCAGTTAAAATTTCTGTTGCGATTTTTCGATTGAAATCTCTCCTTCACGCACATATCCCGTTCACCTACAAAAGATTCGGTCGAAGAGTTTATTCTTCATCAAATCGCACGAGTTCAAATTCACCATCTACCTCCCTCTATTCCTCTGTCCGCAGATTTTCGTTNAAAAAAATCAATCGCCGCCTGAACCTTCTTCACCGGCGAGCTACCTTATCAGGCCGAGCCGTCGCCACCGTTCTCGCCGGTGTCCCCATCGAAGCAGACCCTCCTGCCGTCGCCGACACGCTGCTAGCAGCTTCCCGTCGAGCAGCCCGCTTCAGCTCCTCCATTAATTCCGGCGACCACCTTCTTCTCCTGCGGGTCCATCTCCGAGAAGCCTTGCCGTCGCCAATCCCTCAACGGCTAGTTCACGAGCCGTTCGTCAAGTTTCGGTCAGAGCTTTCGAGAGGTTTCGAGTTTCGTTCGTTCTGATCGTCCGTTCGTTTCTGTTGGTATTGTGGCCCAAATGAGATGTTTTATTGATGGCCCAATATCAAACATTTCTCTGGCCCAATTTCTTTGGCCTGAGCCCAGTAAGGCAGCCCACATGATCCAAGCAATCTTGACCGTTCATTCTCTTTTCTTTTGTTTTAGTTACATGTTACCCTAAGACTCTCTACAAGCAGCCATCTTGTTAGCAGCCTTGAGATTATTCAGGAAATTTAAATTAGTTCTGTTATATTGAGAGTGCAGGCATTAGGAGAACAAATAGCCAACTTAAGAAGCCTCATGAGTGATTTTTGATACCACGCAGCATTTTGAAAACTCTGATCCTATTTTTACTCTCTCTGTTATTCTCTTACTAAGATATGCACGCACTGGTTCTTACTCTCTTTTTCTCATGACTTTTGTGTCAAATTAAACATACCATTTTCTATCCTGTGATAAGGGGGTTGTGATTTTGGTGAGAGTCTCTTTCGTGTGTGAGTGATGGAGACGAGACCGCATTGGCGTTTCTGAATAAGTATGACCGTTTGCGTATTTAATTGATTGATGGGTCGGTTTAATTGTCATGGGATTTTATTTCTATTATTATTAGTAGTATTTAGTGGGATATTATTAATAGTCTATTTATTAAATAAATTTAGGATTTAGGGTAAGTGGAAGAGAGTGGGACTCTTCTTTTGTATTTATGTATCTAGCAGAGAAATAAAAATCAGTCATCGTTGAATTTGAGAAAAGATATCTATGGTCTTGTGTTCTTATTTCCCGTTCGAATATACGCTCTACATCAGTTGGTATCCAGAGACCAGCTACGACCCACGATGCCGCCCAAGAGAGATAACGCCGTCGACGATCGTTTCCAGCGAATGGAAGAGCGATTCCAAGGGATGGATGAACGATTTACGGATCTTTCAACGGGGGTCGAGGAGATTCGACTGGCTATGCGAACCATGATGGATGAGGTACGTACGAACCACGAAGGGGCTGACCGGGGCCATCATGGAGGGATGCGCGGCGGTCGTGGAGGTCGGGGTTATGGCGGGGCGCCCCGCCAACGATCACCACAGCCACCGCCAACCGGGGAGGATTCCGACGAAACCCTAACAGGCGACAACCCTTTTGCTGATGACGACCGCTGGCGGGGCAGAGTTGAGCGGCTGCATGCGCAGAGGGGCTTCGGCGAACGGGAGGTGGACCTAGGGTTTACCGGCGGAGAGGGCGGACGCTGTGCGAGTGTGGAGTGATTTGGTGCCGATTGGGATGACGAGCAGTGGCAGCACGGCAGTTTCACTGGGGACCAACGTCGGTGCGACGAGTTTGTCAACAGCGAGGGTACAGGCCGTCGCGACGGGCAGCGATACGGGGACGGTGGCGACTTCCCGAGGTACGGTCCATTTTCAGACGACGAGGAAGATGGCAGGACTGACGGTGGCCAGTGGCGGCGTGAGGGTCTTCGTTGGGCTGCCGATGACGACGGGCTGCGTCCTGGAGGTTTCGGTGACTGGCGCAGGGGCATGCGTCTGATAGAAGGGGGCGATGCGTCGCGTTGGGAGTCGGGCTTTCGGGTCGACATTCCCGAGTTTCATGGCGGTGCACAGGCGGATGATTTTTTGGATTGATGGGCAGCTGTGGAGGCCGTGTTCAGGCTTAAAGAGGTGCCGGATGACAAGCGTGTCGCTCTCGTCGCCACTCGATTTCGAGGACGTGCAGCGGTATGGTGGATGCAACTTACGAGCTTGCGGCATCATCAGGGGAAGGCTCAAATTTCATCGTGGATGAAATTTCGTGAATATGTGGAGCGTGAGTTCTTACCGTACAATTATGATAGGTTCATTTACCAGCAATTACATAATTTGAAACAGGGAGCGCGTTCCGTAGACGAGTACACGAAAGAGTTCTATCGCCTTTTGACTCGTGTTGAGGTGCGGGAAACTAAAACTCAATTGATAGCTAGGTATGTTAGTGGTCTACGAGTGTCAATCTAAGATATGTTGGACCTTTTCCGGGCGGAGTCGGTTTCTGATGCTCACCAACGGGCCCGTCTTGTGGAACAACAGTTGAATCGATGGAATGGGGCACCTTTTTCGTCGGGCCCGCGGTCAGGCTAACCGAGTGGGAGCGGCTTGCAGCCCGGTCGTGCTACACCAGCGACGGCCTCTAGCGTGGGACAACTTACCGCGGGTGGGCGGAATCCGGTGGCTGGCAGCAGTCAGCCACGGTTGCCGAGCACGTTGGGAATTCTGACGGCTGCACCGGGACAGCGAACGGGGACTGGTCTTTGGTGTTTTGGATGCGGCGAGATTGGTCATCGACAATCGGCGTGTCCACGAGGCCAGCATTCACGTGGTTTATTTATTGAGGAGGTCGAAGACCACGATGTGCATGTGGATTACAACGGCCCTCCACAGTTTGATATTGAACCATGTTTGAGCGAGGAGCATCATAACGAAGACTTTGGCACGACACTCGTCATTCGACGGGTATGCTTAACACCTCACTCCCCCGTTGATGAGCCCGTGGAACGACATCAAATTTTTGAATCCACTTGCACTATTGGGAACAAAGTTTGCCGCTTTATTATAGATCCTTGTTTGAGCGAGAATGTGATAGCACAAGAGGCTGTGACTAAACTGGGTCTTTCGTGTGTACCACACCCTCGCCCATACAAGCTAGCATGGATTCACAGAGACTGTGCGATCACGGTTGACCAGCGAGCTCTCGTGTCGTTATCTATTGGGGCCACATACCGCGACCAAGTGTGGTGCGATGTGGTTCCGATGGATGCTTGCCACTTGTTACTTGGCAGACCTTAGCAATATGACGTCGCAGCTACTCTTGACGGTCGGCTTAATACGTACAGTCTCATGTTCGCTGGTGTTAGGATCACTTTGCATCCCAGTCCCCCACGTCCTACGCCGCCACCGAGTCCTTCGACGGTCCTTTTACTTTCTCGGGTGGCCTTTGAAGTTGAGATGCTTTTTGCTCCGTTTATTCTTTTGCTGGGGGGTTCGGACACTGCGGCAGAATGGGACCCACCTGCATCCATTCAGCCACTGCTGTCCGAGTTTGCTGACGTCTTTCCTGTTGAGCTCCTCTCGGGGTTACCACCTCTGCGGGACATTCAGCATCACATAGATTTGGTACCGGGGGCTTCTTTGCCAAATAGACCGCACTACCGTATGAGTCCTGCTGAACACGAGGAATTGAGGTGGCAGGTGGAGGACCTTCTTCAGAGGGGTTTGGTTCGGAGGAGTTTAAGCCCATGTGCAGTTCCGGCGCTTTTGGTACCGAAGAAGGACAGTTCCTGGAGCATGTGCGTTGATAGCCGGGCGATCATTAAGATCACGGTTCAGTATCGCTTTTCGATTCCTCGGCTGGACGACTTATTGGACCAACTTCACGGTGCCACCATCTTCACCAAGTTGGATCTCCGCAGTAGGTACCATCAGATTCGGATCCGGCCCAGCGACAAATGGAAAACGGCTTTTAAGATTCGGGAGGGGCTCTTCGAGTGGACGGTGATGCCATTTGGATTGTCCAACGCGCCGAGCACTTTCATGCAAGTGATGAACCAGGCACTTCGGGATCTTATCGGGAAGAGTGTCGTCATTTATTTCGACAATATTCTCATCTACAGCCGTACATTGGAGGAGCATTTGCAGCACGTCCGAGAGGTACTTATTATTTTACGTGCAGACTCTTATTTTACGTGCAGACTCTTTTTTTGCTACTCCCCATAAAAGTTGTTTTTTGGTGGATTCTATTCTGTTTCTGGGATTTGTGATTTTGGGTGAAGGGATTCGTGTTGACGATAGCATGGTGTCGGCCATTCGCGATTGGCCGACTCCGACCTCTTTCACTAAGGCCCGGAGCTTTCACGGTCTCGCTTCCTTCTACCGGCGTTTCATCTCTAACTTCAGTACCATCACGGCGCCGATTACAGATTGCCTCACGGGCAAATCTTTTGTGTGGACGCCCGAAGCAGACTCTGCTTTTGCTCTGATCAAGAGCAAGTTGACGTCGGCTCTTGTCCTCGTCTTGCCTGATTTTTTGAGACCCTTCGAGCTATCTTGTGATGCCTCCAAGGTGGAGATTGGTGCTGTCCTCAGCCAGGACGGACGACCGGTTTCTTATTTTAGTGAGAAGCTCTCGGGCCCGAGACTGCGATACAGCACATAGGACATGGAGTTCTACGCGGTTGTACAAGCAATGCGGCATTGGCGTCACTACCTTTTTCACCGAGAGTTTATTTTCTTCACAGACCACGAGGCCTTACGACATCTGGCATCCCAGGATACTGTCTCTTCCCGTCATGCTTCGTGGACGG